GGGACACCGGGCCACGCCTGATGGGCGGAGCCTCGCTGCGCCCCGCCCCCCAGGGCCCGCACACACGCACGATACAAAAAGGGAAAGCACGGAAATCGCCAGAGTCTGAAAGGCAACCCCTTTAACCCCGATTACCTCTGGGGAGGTGGCTGGGGGACGGCAAGGAGAGAAAATTTCCTGTACACCCTTTATACCGTTTGAATTGTGTAGCATGGAATCTACTGCCAATTTCTAAAAATGTAATTAAAAAATCATTCTATCACTTATCACTTGGGTGTATGTCCTTCCAATTTTTTCCCCCTTAACTTGCTGCTTTATGCTTTTTCTTAATGTTGGTATCATACCATACAGGCTCTTAGGTAATCTGCTTTTAAAAATGCATTGATATATTCATGAACGCTTTACCATATAAAATAATATTCTTTTACACGAGCATTTCAATGATGACCATAAAATTCTATGTATGGACACGTTATAATTTAATTTTTTTTTAATACTTAGGCTTTTAAAAAAGCTTTTAGAATCACTAATGTTACATTTTTATGTATCTGATTACGTCTTTAGGGTATATTCCTAAAAGAGGAATTGCTGGGGCAACAGATATGACTGTTTTTAAGGCCTTTGATAAATATTGTCAAACAGTCCTCCAGAATTGTCCTGTAGTGATTTAAACTCCCATTAACAGTTCTCCTTGCATTATACAATGTATGTGGACGTTCAGCTTTAGTAGATAATGCCAAACGGTTTTCCAAACTGTTTACACTCTCACCAGCAGTGTAAGAGAAATTGCTGCTATCTGCATACTTGGTAACCATTGGTGTTACTGGTTTTTCAAAGTTTAGCCATTCTGGTGGGTGTGCAGTGCTGTCCCACTGAGGTTTTAATTTGCATTTCTCTGATCACTAATGTTTCATATTTTTATATCTTTATTGGCCATTTAGATATCCTCCTTTGTGAAGCACCTGTTAAGTCTTTTGCCTATTTTTTAAATTAATTGCCTTTTACTTATGAATTTGTAGAAGTTCTTCACAAATTTCAGATGAGTCTTTTGTCCAACATCTGTTTCAAATATATTTTCCCACTCTGAGGCTTGCTTCTTTCACTCTCCAGAGTGTCTGTTGATGAACAGACATTCTTAATTCTTTTTTTTGGGGGGGTAGCAGCTGGCCGGTTTGGGGAACTGAACCCTTGATCTTGGATTTGCAAGGTTGTGCTCTAAGCAACTGAGCTAACCCACCAGCCCAGAAATTCTTAATTTTATTGAAGTCCAACATACCAATTTTTTTTATGGTTAATGCTTTTGTGTGCTGTTTTTAAAACTTTTGCCTCCCATGATCATGAAGATTTCTCTTACATTATGTTCTAAAAGCTCTGTTGTTTTATCTTTCATATTAGGGCCTCCAATCCACCTGGAAGTTATTTTTGTTTCCGGTGTGAGGTGGATGTCTAGATTCATTTGTTTCTATATGGATAGCCAACTAATCAGTATCATTTATCAAAAAGATTATTTTTTTCCTACTATACCATCATGTAATTCCTGTCCTAAATCAGGTGACCATGAGTAAATATGATTCCAAACTTTCTATTTTGTTCTTGTCAAAGCTAGTCAGGCTATTTTCTACTCTTTTATCTTCTATATACATTTTTTTTTTTTTTTTTTTTTTTTTTTTTTTTTTTTTCTTTTTTTTTTTTTCCATGTCCGGCAACGGATCGCAACGCTCAGTGTTGCCCCCGTACCGGACCGGGACTGGCAACGGGATCGCAACCCGCGGTGTTGCTCCCGCGCCTCGCTCAGCCAGTGAGCAGGAACCGGTCTGTATGTGGGATCCGAACCCTCGGCGGGAGCGCAGCCGCGCTTCCCAAGCGGCGCACTAGCACAGTGCGCCACCGGGCCGGCCTATCTTCTATATACATTCTAAAATCAGCTTGTCACTTACCAAAAAAAAAAAAAAAAATGTATATAGAAGATAGGCCGGCCCGGTGGCGCACTGTGCTAGTGCGCCGCTTGGGAAGCGCGGCTGCGCTCCCGCCGAGGGTTCGGATCCCACATACAGACCGGTTCCTGCTCACTGGCTGAGCGAGGCGCGGGAGCAACACCGCGGGTTGCGATCCCGTTGCCAGTCCCGGTCCGGTACGGGGGCAACACTGAGCGTTGCGATCCGTTGCCGGACATGGAAAAAAAAAAAAGACAAAAAAAAAAAAAAAAAAAAAAAAGCCTTCTGAGATTTTGAATAGGATTATAATTGAATCTATAGATCAATTGGGAAGAACTGATATTTTACAATAGTAAGTGTGGTATGCAGAATAATGGCTCCCTAAAATTGTCCACATCCTAGTCTCTGGAACCTGTGAACATATTACGTTACATGGCAAAGAGGAATTAAGGTTGCTAATCAGCCAACTTTAAGAAAGGGAAACTAGTCTGTATTATCTAGGTGGGGGCAATGTAATCACAAGAGTCCTTAAAAGTGGAAGAAGAAGGCAGAACAGGAATGTTAGATGGAAATGTGACTAGAGAAGGATGGTCAGAGAGAAGAAACATAGCTGGCTTTGAAGATGGAGGAAGGAGCCACGAGCCAAGGAGGGCGGGCAGCCTCTAGAAGCTAGAAAGGGCAAGGAAGTAGATTCTCCTTTAGAGCCTCCAGAAAAGAATCCCAGCCTTGATTTTATCCCAGTGAAATTTGTGTTGGACTTTATCCTACGGAACTGTAATATGATAAATTTGTGTGGTTTTAAATTCCTAAGTTTGTGATACTTTGTTACAACAGTCACAGGAAACTAACACAGTGAGTGTTTCAGTACATGAGTATGGTATATCCCTCCATTTATTTATGCTGTCTTTAATTTCAGTAATGTTGTAGAAACTTCTGTGGAGAGTTTTTTGCACATCATCTGTTATATTTATTCCTAGTTTAAAAAAAAAGTTACTGAAAATAGTGTATTTTTAAAATTTCATTTTCTAATTACTTATTGTTAATGTAAATAAATACAATTGATTTTTGTATACTGATATATTGAGCAGCTGTTCTAAATTCACTTAGTACTTCTAAGTTATCTATAGAGTATTGGGGATTTTCTGTAAATAATCATGTCATCTTTGAATAATTATCTTTTTTTCCCCCTTCCCAATCCTTATTCTTGCCTTCATTTCTTTTTCTTGCCTTGAGTTACTGTCTAGGACACCTAAAACAATGTTGAATAGAAGTGTTTATAGTGGGCATCACTTTCTCCCTCCCTGGATAAATACTCAACAGAAATGCATACCACATGTGCATCAAAAGACATGCACAAGAATGTTATAGCAACATTATTCACAACAGGAAAAACTAAAACAATCCAAATGTCCACCAGTAGTATAAATAAAATGTGCTATATCCATACAATGGAATACTGTACAGCAGTGAAAATGAACAGACTACTGCTACACACAATAATATGGATAAATCTCATAAATATGATGTTGATTGAAAGAAGCAAGACACAAAAGAGTACAGTCTGAATGATCTGGTTATATATAAAGTTCAAAAACAGGGAAAACTAACCTATAGTATTAGAAGTCAGGAGAGTGGATATCTGTTGGCATTAGTAAATAAGAGGGGGCAAGATAAAGGGTTCTGAGGACCTAGAAATTTCCATTTCTTGATCTGAGAGAGGTTACAGAATATGTTTACTTTTTAAAAACGATTGAGCTGCACATCTTCAATTTGTGCATTTTTCTTTATGCATTTTTGTAGAGGATTCATAAAGCAAATATACCTCACAGGGCCTGGTTTTCCAAAGCTTTGCTGTTTCAAATATTGACCTTGCAAAGGACAGGAAACTTCCCCCAGGGCATTGAGTCTCTGTTGCAAGATAAGAATTGTAGCACAGCAAGGCTGCTGGTTCTAAGACAGACAAGTTACTAATTGATATGTAAAGTTACTTAAAAGCTCTAGATGGAAAAGGAATGTTTGCTAAATCAAGCCTGTTAGTGGATCACTTAATTGCCTAACAGAATGTCATCTGACTTGTTTTTACTGAATGTTACCAGCTTCTATTGTTAAAATTGTTAAACTGTACTTAGCAAAACCCCAACTATGTGTCTTCCTGTAGCTTCTTGGTCTGGAGAATAAATGCAGGAAGAGAATCCCAATTCGTGGTTAATTTCCTAAATGGAAGGATGCTTTGTGCTTGAGGGTCCTGGAATATTAACCCCTTTCTGGGGCTTCTCACTGCTCAAAAGAGATGGGCTTTGAGTTATCTTTGGCAGCTCCGTCACCCAGGGGAAAAGGGGTGACAAATCCGTGGGAGGCAAAGCAACACATTTTATATCTCAATAAAAATTTACTTTAAAAAATGCACGCCCAGTAATTCCACTTTGAGAAATTACTCCTTAAAAATAATCCAAAAATGAGCTAAGGTGTATTGTTACTCATTCATTAATTCAACAAATATATACAGGAATGGATGTTTATTGCAGCACTGTTTACAGAAATGAAAATGTAAGCCAGTCTCAATATCCAACATTATGAGATTGGTTAAATATGACACATCCATTCAATGCAATACCTTGCATCCTTTAAAAACAATGATAATATTCATATTTATTGAAATAGAAAGTCATTCAAGCTATACTGTTAAATAAAAAATTACTAGGGCTGGATAGTTAGCTCAGTTGGTTAGAGCACCACCTTGTAATGCCAAGGCTGAGAGTCTGGATCCCTGTACTGGCCAGCCGCCAAAAAAAAAAATTTTTTTTATTAAATCTATTGTAGTGGATTGAATGCCCCCCCCAAACTCATTGAAGCTTGAATGTATCCCCCAAGTTTTATGTATTAGAAACTTGACCCCCACTGTGACTGTTGGGAAGGTGGGACATCAGATCATGGTAATTGAAAGGTGGGGCCGTGAAGAGGTAATTAGATTGCAGGACCGTGCTGTAGTGAATGGATTAATAATGGTGATCGTGGGTGTGGGTCTGAGGGCTTTTAAAAAGAGAGCGAGTGAGGAAGTCAGTGTCTGCTCTCTCTCTGCTCTGCCACTTCATGCGATGCCCTGCGTCACTGTCGCCACCACCAAGACCCTCACCAGATGTGTTCCCTGGACTTTGGACTTCCCAGCCTCAGAAACTGTAAGCAATACATTTCATTTTCTTTATACAATACCCAGTTCCATGTGTTTTGTTGGGTAAGCAACAGAAACGGACTAATACATCTATAATATGATCCCATTTTTAAAAATATGTACATTTGTGTGCTTTAAAATGTCTGAACAAATATATGCCAAAATATTAACAGCATCTATCTCTGGGAGAGGCAATTGTTTTCTTTTTGTATATCTGTAATTTCTGATTTTCTACAGGAAACATGCATTACCTGTGTAATTTTTTAAGGGAACAAAGATGTTCACACTATATCAGTAAACAAAAAAACAGATTACAAAACAGTATGTCTAGTATGACACCGTACTTGTAAAAGAAAAAAGATATATTAAATATACTATTATATGCATATTAGATAAGCCAAAGAAAAAGGACAAGTAATAATAGCAGCCATCTATGGCAGAGGGATTATGAATAATTTTCTTTTTGCTTTTGTTTTCTGATTTTTCTACAATGAACATGTATTATTTCTGTCTTAAAAAATATTACTAGGGGCCGGCCCGGTGGTGCACTACTACAGTGCGCTGCTTGGGAGTGCGGTGCTCCCGCCGAGGGTTCGGATCCCACATACAGACCGGTTCCTGCTCACTGGCTGAGCGAGGTGCAGGCGCGACACCGAGGGTTGCGATCCCGTTGCCGGTCCCCGTCCGGTACGGGCGCAACACTGAGGGTTGCGATCCGTTGCCGGACACGAAAAAAGACAAAAAGGAAAAAATATATATATATATATTACTAAAAGTTAAAAAAAAAAACACAAAAAACCAAGTTGGATCTCTTAAAAGGAAAAAAAAGGGGGACCTCCATTTCAGTGACCCCCTCCGCCCCAGCATCACACTCTCTCCACCCTTTCCCAGCTCCTGGGTCTTACATTTTAAGAAGAGCGATCGCTCTGGTGAGGAGTTTGTTTTCAACAACGTACCAGGCTTGGCGCTGGAGGAGCCCGAGAGCTGGCAGTCCATGTCTGTAATGAATTGTGAGAAATGAGTGTCTGGAGCTCATGCAAGCAGCACAAATTACAAAACATACTAAAAATACTATACAACAGAGGATGTGCATAATCTCTGCCCAAGAATCACATGCAAATTAGTAGGGAATGTACAGGAGTCACAGGGACAGGAGACCTCCAGGACAACAAGTGAAGTCAGCAATGGTGGGCTGTGGGTGAGCCATAACCCTGCCAGCCAGCCGAAGCTCAAACAGCTGTCGTACTCAGCACTCAAGGGTGGGAGGCAACCGCAAGGCAGAAATGCAAATTCCAGGATAAAGATGGAAAACAAGAAATTGGAGCTGAGTCCTCAGAAAGGACACATCCAGGTCTCATTCAGATGAGAAGGAATACCCAAGCCATATGGTCCCTGCTCTCTACAGCTCAGTCACGTAAGTGAGGTGAGAAATGGACTCATTGGAGCTATGACCCAAGGCAGAAAGTGCTCCAGGTCACAGAGAAGAAAGGTGAAAGGGCTCTGGGGCTTGGAGGGGTCAGGGAAGGCTTCTCAGAGAAGGAAGCGCTTCAGCGGGGCTCTTAGAGGATGGGGAGGATTTGGACACACAAAAAAGAATAGAAGGCTACCCCAATAAGAGGGTACAGCAGGAGCAAAGACATGGAGGGCAGGTGCTAGGAGTGACGCGTAAACAGTAAGGAGCCATGAAAGGTGCCTGAGTGAGGGAACGACAAGAGCAGAAGCATTTCCAAAGATCTCTCTGGTGGGGAATGGATGGGGCAGGGTGAGACTGGAGGGAAGGGGCCCTGGTAGAAGGCTCAAGCCTGAATTGGGGTAGCAGGGATGGAGAAGGGGGCTGGGTTGAGTGCCAGGACTTAACAGTTTACTGGGAGTGGGGGATCAAAGAGCAGACTGGAGTCAAGAAGCAGCAGACATGGGGGGAGGTGCTGGATTCCTGTTTCAATCCTGTTGAGCCTGCAGTATCTGAAACATACATGTGGAGACATGGGTGAGGCATTGGAAGGGTGGCGGTATGCAAGACCCCCACACCTCCTTGGGTCCTTCCTGGGAGTCAGCTCCTCTCAGAATTACCTGGGATAGTGAGGAATGGTGGCCTCATCTGGAGGTAGATGAGGGGTGATGGCCTGACAGGAATCAGAGTCCAGGGAATCAGAACACAGACCCTGGAACCAGAATCTGTTTGAATTCTGCCTCTGTCACCTACCAGCTGTGCAACCTAAGGCAAATCAGTTAACCTCTCTGAACCTCAGTTTCCTCATCTGTAAATGGGAATAATGAAGGCACCTACCTCACATAGAACAACACCTGGCACAGAGCAAGTGTTAGCTGTTTTCATGGACTCAGACACTGCCAGTTTGGGGGGAATGGACCACTGAGAATGTAAATGTGAGTGAACGGCATTTTGGGTGCATATGAGTAACTTCTTGCAAGAGGTGTGGGGGGAGGATGCCAGTGCCTACTCACTGGATACTGACAAGCCCAGAGCTTTCTCCAGTAGACTGCTAAGATTCTTCTTTTTCCATATTTTTATAGATGACTTATTCTTTTTTTTAAAATCGAGATATGTTGACTGCTAAAATCCTGACAAGTGATTTTTTAAAAATAACTACATCTCAAGAAGAAGTTTTCAGTTCGACTGTGCATCCAAAATTCCAGTGGAAGTTAAGGGAAAAGAGAACACCATCCATAAATTAAAAATCTGCCTAGGGCCGATCTGTGGCTCACTTGGGAGAGTGTGGTGCTGACAACACCAAGACTGTGGGGTCCGGATCCCTATATAAGAATGGCCGATTAGCTCACTTGGGAGAGAGTGGTGCTGACAACACCAAGTCAAGGGTTAAGATCCCCTTACCACTCATCTTTAAAAAAAAAAAAAATCTGCCTTAATGAACCAGGAAAACCCACTGTTGAGCCCCACTGCATGCATCACAATGTCCCAAACATGCTTTAGCATTCTCGTCTCAGTTTGAAATGCCTCTCTCTGTTCACTCTGACTTTCGAAATCCTATTTTTTTCTCTCTCACAACTATACTAACAAGGACCAACTGTCAAAATCTTACTGGTCTGTTAAGGCCCAGCTCAAGTGCCACCTCCTTCAGGAAGTCTTCCAGGTTTACCCATCAGAATCACTCTTTCCTCTGAGCTCCCATGGTCCCTTGTCTGGCCTCACCTCTCTCTGTATCCAGAGGGTGCTCAGTGGATTCTTGTAGCATTTCTGTCTCACCTCCTCTCACCTCTGTCCCTCTCTTTTTCTGCTGATCTTAAGAGCTGGAACTCTTCTGCCAGGCTGTTTGGTAAGGTGGCTTCCAACTTCTTCAACCTCATCTCCCGCCAATCTTTCCTCCTTCACTGTGCTCCAGTCACTCTGGCTTCCTCCTCTCCGTGCAAATACTTCATCAAGTTCTTCCTGCACCTCGGGAACTGGCACCAATGTTCTCTCTGCCTGGAGCACCGCCCCCCTCCCAACCGCAGGCTTGTGGTGCCTCCTTCCCAGCTGTGAGGGCTGCAGTTCACCTCCTCCCACCTTCCCTGACCAGCTCGTCTGCAGTAGCCCCTTCCCCAATCCCTCTCGCACAGCACGCACCACAGGGGCCTGCGGAGATCTATGGGAAACACACCTCTAGGTGAACCCCTCTTGCCTCTCCCCAGAACTCTGGAATCATAGATCCTGTTGCTGCCTATGTGATATCACCACATAGGAGGTCAAACTTCTCAAACCAAACAGGTCCAAAGATTTCATTCCCTCCAATCCTAGATGCTCTCTCCCATGTCAGGACACGACATGGAAAATGACTCTACTAGTTGCTCGGGCCAAAACCCTTGCAGCTTCCTTGATCCCTCTCTGTCCCTCCGCACTCTCTCTACTCCATCTCCACTCCTGTTGGTCTCTCTGCTGCTCCTCCAGCGTGCCAGGCTCACTCCGACCTCGCCTCAGGGCCTTTGCACTTGCTCTAGCCTCTGTCTGGAATATGTCCCTCCCCGCTGCCCACAACAATAGCAGCAGCTAACGCTTACATATTGCTTATCACGCCTGAGCACTTTATATAAAAACCCATTTAATCCTCACAACAACCCGTGAAAGGGGACTATATTATTCTCTCCATTTTACAGATGTGGAAACAGACATAGAAAAGTTAGGGGCCTTGCCCAAGATGGCAGGGTCAGGAAGTGGTGGACCTGGGACAGGACCTCAGGCAGTCTGGGTCCAGAGGCCATGCATGTGACCACGGGGCTCCCCTGCCCTTCAGACCCACAGAGTCTGCAGAGAGTACTTCCTCGGATAGGCCTTCCCAACAGCCTCACGTAAAATAGCTCCTCCTCCTTGTCACTCTCCATTCATCTTACTCTGCTTTATTTTTCTTCATGGTAATGCTTATCCCTGACATATATTTGCATGTTGTTTGTCTTCCCCACAAAAGACGGTGGGCATCACAAAAGCAGGAGCTTTGTTTTGTTCCCTGCTAAGCCTGGTACACAACAAAGCTCAATACATGTTCTTAATGAGCCATAATAGCAGAGATCAAAGAATGAATAAATGAACATATATTTCTGAGTACCTGCTTTGTGCCAGGCCTGTGAGGACCTCAGAGCTCAACTTGAAGTGGCTTCTGCCCTTCAGACATTTACAAGGGGCAAGGAGGGGGTCCATGTGTCCACCTCATGAGCACCCCCAGGTGGGCTCTGGGCAGGCCCTGGAGGGGGAAGGGCAAAGGGAAGATGGCCAGGAGAGGGAGTGAGCTGGGGAGACAGGGCGGCAGGGAAAGGCTTCCCAGGTGAGCAAGGCTGGGCCAGTCTGCTTTGCAGGGGGTGGGACTTGGCCCCAGGCAGAGGAAGAGAAGGAGGAAGAGGTGGCCATTCTGGCTGGGAGCCCAGAGCAGGCAAAACTGAGGCGTGGCAGGACCTGGAGCAGTCTGAGGGACAGAGGCAGAGCCGTGTGGCTGGAGGGAGGCAGGACACGGCCTCAAGAAGGGCAGGAGGTTGAGTCGTAAGGGTGGGTTGGGCACCAGGCCCAGGAACCCCTGACCGCCCCACCACAGCCTCTGTGTGAGGGACATGACTAGGCTGGAGAGCTTTGCGGTTGTCTCTGGGCTAGAGGGCACTGGGGAGTTAAGGACACGACATTGGTCCCACGCGACTTACTTTCCTTAAGGCGCGCATCCAGTGGCGTCTGTAATGTGCTCTGCATGGCTTCCACAAGGCCCTTAAAGAAGCTCTTGACGGGCTCGAAGGAGAGGGGCACGGGGTGGCACAGCTCCCCGAGATGCATCTGCCGCTGCACCTCCTGCTCGGTGGCCGTGTACGCCTGCGTGGGAGCATGGACGTCAGGGTGGCTCAGGAGCGGCAGGCTGCCCCCAGGAACAAGCCCAGGCCCCACCCTGCACTGGCTGGGCCAACAGGAGCAGAGCCCCAGAGAGATCACACAGCAGGTCCCGCTGAGGTGCAAGACATGGAGGCCCACACTGTGCCAGCTGTGAGGCGTGGGGGAGGTCGTGCTGACTGCCCCTGCCCTTGAGTGGCCCTTCGCTGGGAGGCTTCAGCCTCCCACAGACTGTAACAGGCATCTGCCTCAAGTCCAGGGGCACAAAAGGAGTGAGGGGCCAGACTTTCTGGGGAAGGAGTCCCTGAGGCTTGTCCAAAAGAGGGAGCAGGAAACCTTGTCCCAAGAGGGAGGCAAAGACCCTGGACATACAAGTTCAGCTGGAGTGCTGACTGAGAGGGTGCAGCCAACACAGCGAACATGTGTCTTGTTTCCTGCCCATATAGCACCTCTTAAATATCCTTCCTGTATTATGTGGCTTTGCTAAGTAGCAGCCATAAAACTCACTCTACCAGCCCCCCTTGTACTCAGGGTGCAGGCATGTGATGAGACACCCTCAATCCAAGGCTTGGATTTGGAAGTGAGGGTGCAAGCAGTGACAGCCGCAGTGGTAGGGGCTCTGGGTCGGTGGTGTGAGCTGTGATGTCTTGCCCAGCAGGGGCATAGCTGGGTCTCTTCTGGTGCAAACCCTTGCTGTGGTCGGGACGTCATTCCTGTTGCCTGGCCTTCCATCCTTACTCTCTGCCCTCCTGGAGATCCTGTGAGCTACCTAATACTCTTTCATGAACTCCTTTCTTGCTTAAAACAGTTACAGTAGATACTCATGTTTGCAGTTAAGAAGCCTGACTGCACTTTCTGAAGGATCAAAGGGTTGGAAGACAGCAGACTGCCTCAGTGAGTAGGCCTTGGCTAGCAGGCAGTGCTGCCCAAGAAGGGATGGGCAGGTGGGCTTCAGGAGGGAGCCAGGGTGGCCTGGCACTTGGCTGTCGGGCAGAAGCAGGCCTCACCTGGCAGGAAGCTGTACCTTGGGAGGAGGCTGGGGGATGGCCTCCAAGCCCCACCCAGCCTAGAAGCCAAGGATCTAGAGTTCATCCTCCTTTTGGTGGGGAACCAGGGCTAAGGTCACCCCCAGAGGGCTGGGGTGGAGCTGGCTGTTGAGGAAGTCAGAGCACTAGCAGGAAGTCCAGGGAGAGCAGGGAGCAGTTCCAGGGAGGGGGGCAGGAAGCCCAGAGGGCAAATAGGTGGGCTAGGAGTGGGGACCAATAGAGGACAATTGTCACCACCTGATTACTCCAAACTCTAGCATCTAGCACAGGGCCTGACACATAGAAGGTTCTTAATAAATATTTATGATGGAATCAATGAATGAATGAAACCAAGCACATCTGCTTCTTGCCTCTGCAGACTCAGAGAACAGCTCACCCATGCCTTGAGCCAGAAACCCAGGCATCATCTTGGATCCTCCTACTCATTCCCCACTTCCAATCACCATTCCTGTTGCATCTCCGGAACCTGCCTGTTTCTCTCCATCCCCACTATCCCTGCCCTGGTCCAGGCCACCATCATCTCTATCCTGGACATTGTGGTCTCCTCCCAAATTCCCTTCCAGCCTCTGGTCCTGGTCTCCCCAGTCCATCCTTCCAGACTAAAGTGTCCTTTCTTTTTTTTTTTTTTTTTCCTTTTTGTCTTTTTTCGTGGCCGGCAACGG